CCTAGGGTTCGTGGGGGCGGAGGGGAGAGAGAGGGAACAGGCGGTGGGGGAAAGAATAGAAAAGGGAGAGGAGGAAGAAGTGGGTTGCGTGGCTTGACTACCCAAGACTCAGCGCTGAGTCGTGCCACGCCGAGGTCTAGGCCTCGGCGTTAACTAAGCCCACGTCGAGCTCTGTGGGCCCTGAAAGCATCTAGGCCCCTAGTTGGATTTCGGTGATTAATGCCAATACAAGATTACTATGACTAACGTGTGTTTTGCAGAGGCATATAAAGTTAGGTCATGGTAATGGAGATCGATTGGGCAATCGAGGTTGCCATGCCCCTACGATGGAAATCGTTTCGGTTTTCAAAGGATTAACGACAAGGTTAAGGATGACTAGTTCTAAGTGTCGATTGGAATTGGAGAGATATTTAGAATAGTTTAGGACTTTGTTTTTCCTTTGGCCGTATTTATTATTAAGGGGGTATGAACGGGTAGCTTGACCTAGTTGAGTCTAGTGAGTTAGGTGTGGTGCACACTTGTTAAAACTAGCTCTAGGTAGCTCCTATGAATGCCTAAGATCCTTTGGAGCAAACTTCATTCTCATATGATCGAGAGTTGGAAGTGAATGGAGGGTCAAATCTTGGCCGAGACGGCCCTCCGGCATGGACCGACGAGAGTGGTCCGTCGCCGGCATTTGACCAAGGAGAACAAGTCTGGTGTGACGGACGCCGGAAGAATGACCGGACGCCGAGGGCTGCTGAGGGAGGACGACGCGTCCGTCGATTGGTGAAGAGCATCAAGAGCGACGGTCAGCCGGCTTAAACCGGACCACGACAGAGTCCGGGTCATCACTTGAAATCAAGCTGGCGGTTGAACTGACCGAGGGCGTCCGGCAATACGATTGAGCGTCCGGTCATCCCGCAAAAAGCTCATAACGGTTCGCTTTTTAAGGGTCGCCTTATAAATAGAAGCTCCACTGTGTGTGGAGAGACTTTTGCTCATTCCAACAATTTGAGAAACACGTTTGTGAGTGCCAAGAAGAGGAAGGTCCTAGTGAGGTGTTTGTGATTTGAGAATCCAAGAGTGAAACCTTATTAGTGAATCAAGAGTAGACAAGTGTGCATCCATCTTCTCATTAGGCTTCGCGTGGTCAAGTGAGAGTTCGTGCTTGTTACTCTTGGTGATCGCCATCACCTAGACGGCTTGGTGGTGATTGAGAGCTTGGTGATCACCCCAAGAGCTTGTGGGTGACCCAACTCAAGTTGTGGCGGTTTTGGGTGATTCGCCAACGGAGTGTCAAGAATCAACCCAGAGAGCACTTGATCCTTATTGGCGGATCAAGGGGCTACACCCTGCGTGGGTGCTCCAACGAGGACTAGTGGAGAGTGGCGACTCTCGATACCTCGGCAAAACATCGCCGTGTTCCTCTCTCCATTTACTTTGAGTATTTACTTTAAGTATTTATTTTGAGCAATTCAATACTCGTCTTTACTTTTATAGAATTGCTATGCTAGAGTAAGTTTAGAACATAGGTTGCAAATCCTTTGTGCGTTGATTTGATAGAAAAACTTTTTCTAAGCACAAGGGGTTAATTGGGCTATCCGTAGGATTCGATTATTGCAAGAAAATTTAGAATTAGCCTAATTCACCTTCCCCTCTTGGGCATCTTGATCCTTTCAGGCCCAACTACCGATGATTCTCCTATCGCTGTTCAGGATATGACATTAAAAAAGACATACAACGTTGTTCTAACACGCCGAGAGTTTGGTCTATTTCCAAAAAATGTTTCTCCTAGGGGTTATTTTTAAAAAATGTTTTTAAAAAGGATCAAAATGCAAAAATTTCACAGGCAATCAAACACACCCAAGACTTTTGAGAGCATGAAGCAACATGTGGAACCACATGAGATAATCTTGTGACCGTTCCCGAATTTAGCAATCAGGCGGTAGAGGCTAATAGCAGCCATTGAGACAACACAAGCAAGGCTCGTGCTAGGTGGTAGCGGACGAAAAGCTGCCATGGTATAAAAAACGTTGTTTAGTTCTTGATCCAGTGAGCCAAGCCAAAATTTAACCATGACCATGCTAGCAACGACCACACAAACTCCATTAACAAACACAAGTACCTCATGACACTGTAGCTTTATTAGAGTCCCATGTACGTAGACAAACTTAGGAACTTGAAATACAACTCTTTGAGAGGATTTCGGTCAAGAAGAGTGAGGTGATCCCATGAATCTAGAGTCTGAGCAAATACAGGTGGTTTCTCATGTGCTTCGGTGTCACATGGGGGCAAGCTGGTTCTCATTAAGACATGCTTAGCCTCCATTCATATCTACTCCTCTTTTCATAAATTTCCCTAAATGGGTTAGCAACATATGCTAAACTCCCATATGGCTCGTTGCCTTTGAAGACATAGGACTTCCCATCTTATTAATTGGCCAACGGTGGCCATGACGAAGCAATATGAGGTTTGGTATACCTATTGGTGCTTTTGTTTGTACGCATTGCATATCCTCTCTCTCTTAATAATTGGGCTAATTTCATCCTAGTATTATTGATTATATGCAATGATCATATCTATTGACGAAGGTTGGTGCAAGTGACCAGGTGGTAGGACTGCAGGAGCACGACATATTGGCGTGTTGGACTGTTGGTGGGCCCAACGAGCGGACCTCGTAATCTAGCCCAACCTAGTATAGTATGGTTCTTTCATCTCCTTTTCTTTTCTTTTTTCTAAGTATAAGCAAAATGTTAAGCTGAATTTATACGGGCTATCTGAGTTGTCCTTGTTAAAGGGTATTAAAATTGCATGGACTGTTAAAGGTTGCCTAGAAGCACACTGGAAACCGATTCGTGCCGACTCACTGGCGATCCGCGAGGAGTTGACTCGATCAAATTTCAGCCCGAGGAGTCGCTTCCAAGCAAATCAGAAGTTTGCTCGCGTCGTAACAAAAGAAAGAAAGAAAGAAGTTTGATCTCGCATACGGCATATGCGGACCCAGGCCGGCAGGCCCAGCCCAGGTCACGCGAAATCCATTTACCATGATTACATGAATGCAGAGCATTCCTCAAAACAAAAAAAGAAAGAAAGAAAAGAACGCAGAGCAAACGCCCCAGGTGTGTTCGGGCTGCATATGCCAGTTTGATCCGTCGTCCTGCGGCCCTAGTAACATCACGCATTTCGGCTGAGTACTGCTGCTACGGCCGCCACCGGGTAGAGAGTGGTTTCACAAGCGCCGAAAATGCAATGCATTTAATATGAGAATATCCAGGACAACAAAATCAATTCAATGTTTTGAGAACGAAGAGAACACACACACCCCGATTCTAAGAAAACCACCCCGCCGCCGCCGCTTCCTGTCTTCATTTCGACACATCCAAGAAATGGCTACCGCGACGCGCCTCCTCCTCGTGGTGCTCCTCCTCTTCGCGGCGACACCGGCGCCGTCCCTCGCGGAAAGCTTCGTCGTCGGCGGCAGGAAACATCGCTGGGAACCCAACGTCAACTATACAGGCTGGGCGGACCAGCAGCAGTTCCACGTCGGCGACTGGCTCGGTACCATTCTCCCCTTTCTACCTCTGCACACTCAAGCGTTAGCCATCAAGCCGCCCGTGTGATCGAGATCTAGCTTTTGGTAAAAAGAATTGAAGGCGTTTGCTTGCAGAATTCAAGTACGAGAAGGGCAAGTACGACGTGGTGCAGGTGAACCAGACGGCGTACGCGGCGTGCGACGCCAGCAGCCCCATCCTCAGCTACAGCCGCGGCCACAACTTCGTCTTCCGGCTCAACCAGACGGGCCGGTTCTACTTCATCTGCAGCCGCGGCTACTGCTGGAATGGCATGAAGGTCTCCGTGCTCGTCCAGGCGCCGCCCGCGTCGTCGCCGGCGCCCCACGCGTCAAGCGCCAGTGCGGGTGCGGCGGCCGGGGTTTGGTGTGCGGCTCTCGCTGCCTTGCTGGGCTGGGCGGTGGTCAGGCCGTTACTGTTTCGGGTCTAAACGTCCAGGAGCGCACACTGGACTGCCAGTTTGCTATTACTGCCCATTTCTAACAGCATAGTGTACCGTGTGGAAGGAAATAATCGAGAAAATGAGCCTGACGAACTGTCGCGCTGGTTATACTAAACGTTTCCATGACCTGTTCCTGCATTGCAGTAGCCACACATACTTACCAGTAACTAACCACACATCTTCTGACGTTTCGGCATCAACCCAACACATGTAATAATATTTATATTAAGGAAAATAAACAAAATGAATCTGAGGCAGCTACGCTTATAAGTTTTTTTTTTGAAACAAGCTACGCTTATAGGTTAATACTGTGAAACAAGACTTAAAACAAAACTGTGGCGCGATGGGTGTACAGAGCGTTTAACATCATAGTGAACCAACCTTGACATAGTCACTCTTCTGTACGTTTAGTTACCACGCAAAATAAAACGTGCAATTTAGTATGCTTATAACTCAAAGGGAACCTCCCCGCGCTAAATATTTGTACAAATTATAAAGCCATTTGATAAAAGCTTTCATGGTCTTTACATCAGGTCCAGTAGCCAGCTAACTGGCTTCAGCCTTGCCAAAAATTGGACCTAACAGTCCCATGACGATATTAAAAAGTGGCACCAAGAACATGTACCAGGAACACCTGGCATGAAGATTGAAAGCAAAACTAGTACTCTGCTCAAATTTGAAAACCCTGGCAGCCCGGGATCTCATTGGGCATAGGAAAATTGGACAAACTTCTTTTCGTTAGGAGTGAGTTGGAATTAAAGGATAAAGAAACTCAAAGATGCAATGGTCAGAAGACAGAACGCCTTAGGAGCATTCCCAACTTGCCTTCATCAAAGGTTAGAAATCAAAACGGTGGAGATGGAGCGTCAGGAAAGATGGAGCTGGGGCCTTTCTTTTCTTTTCCCTTTTTTTTGTTAAACAGGAAGACCTGGAGTTAGCATAACAAGATGATGGGTTGTGAGTCGAGGATGGATAAGTGTGGTGTTGATCTGTTGAATAAGAGAGCTCTAAGAGATCATGGAGTCCTTGACAATTTCATATAATGAGATGGCAATCTCAATAATCAGCAGTATTATGACACCCCACTCCAGCAGATCCGACCGTCTATTTTGGAGGACCTCTTGAAGAAAATGAATGTTGTGCTGTTACAATAATAAATTGTAAGCACACATGAAAACTCAAAAAAGATAAAGAAGCCAACTTTTGCACTATCTAGGAGAATGAATACACAAGGCACTACCTCCACAAATTTCAGTTTGAAGTCAAGGCTTCCAAAACGCTGATTGAGTTCATATTCCTCCCGAAGATACTCTAGAATTTGTGCATAATTTGCATTTTTCCAAGCAATTTCCGACCTATACAAGAATCATGGTCAAATGACAGAAGGTGGATGTATTCAGCAGCAAAAAAAAAAAAAAATATAAGCAGGGATCCAGAAGCGAAATTGCACTATAAAAGCAACAAGTGAGTCAAGGCAGAAACATGGGGTGCATGCAACAGAGCCAACAAGAATATGATAATCTCCAAGAATAGCAAGCACAATACTTTTAAAAATAGTGAGTACAGTGAGATAGTGATGTCCAAATTCTTAGTACAACAATCAAAACCATCAACATTTGTTCAAAACACTGGAAGAAATTCCAAACAAACAGCATAAACCCCATGTGAACCCTTCTTTTCCAAAAGGGAATATCAAATGTATGGATAATAGTGGCTTATAGATGTGCAATGTCTAGCAACTTGAATGACACACCTTCACAATCCTCCACATGGGATTGGCACATTCTTTGATCCATATTATTTAACTTAATATATGTTGTTTGAGAAATGGAACCATCCTAAATAGAAAGTATAGTACTTAAGTGTAGTAGACATACCTGTCAAAAAGACCAAGTCTGATGATAACATCTGCAAGATTAGAATTAGCCTTGCCCACAAGTTGAAAGAGTTTTTTTCTTTGCATGGTGAAGTTGCCAGTTTTTTCCATGACACGATTAATTTCAGTGAATTCCTCAACCATATCATCGACCTGTCAAAATTGGAATTTTTGAAGTTTAGAAATTCTAGACAAAGCTTTAATGATACTGCCACAACACATAAGTTCATTAACTTCGCACAATATCAGTACCTGCCGAATATAATGATCAAGGGCGATACTTTGACCAAGAACACTTGAAATTATGCGAATCCCGTCTGTGTCTAAACTTTTAAGAACTATATAGTCAAGACCTCCTTTCATCCATGTTGTCAAGGATGGTTTTCGACCACTGCATAATCTGTTCATGCAAATCAGATGGCATCAGTCGATGTAGGTTTTACTCTAAACCTGCATCTTTACGATGAGTCAAACAGCGCAATTCCAAGGGGCATATGCCAAAGCTCAGTCACAGTGGACAAAAAACAGTGGCAACTTATTTCTGCTAAACAAAAATGCACACAATACACGGCCTAGGCATGCGATGATTCTCTTTAAGTTGAGTTCTACACAGTTAACAAATAGCATCTTTGAATATAACAGAAGGCAATTGTACTGTTGTCTGTTAATGCAAATATTATCAAGGAACACAAAAATGGAGGCAAGTAAAAAGCAGTAAACAGACACAGTTTAGCAGTGGTCATACCATCTTTTCTCATCTCTGCAAGCCATCCTGAAGCATGCTTCCTAATTATATCAAGATAGTACTCGGCTTCATGATCCGCAATGTTGAAAAGCACAGCAGAACCATACTGAAAAACAACCACATAGCGATAGCAAAATCTATTGTCCTTCACTCCAATGTTCTGCATAAATATCAACCAAAACCAGAAGGAAAGCATAGGTCAATGCTGCAAAAGCATGTCCAACTGGTCCAAACGTGCCTGAGATTTGTTAATTTTGAATGTCGGGACTTCCAACAAAGTGATGCTAAACTGTAATCACTAACCATAATCTCAGGTGGGAACTCGGAGTACCGAAGTGCAATGTAATTAAGCGAACGGGTCGACGGAGGTACGATATCATTTCCGTGCTCCGCTTGCATGCTCTTCAGATCAATGCTGCCACGGCGAGGAGGAAAAATTGAAAACACGTCATTTTAGTTCGCAGCGCCAATTGGGCATCGGCATCTCTTCAGAATAGCACGGTAGCACCCAATGTTTCCTCGCTGATAAATCATCAAACACCTATCGAGCAAGCGCGGGAGCGGCGCTGCGTGCTTACCTGGTGGAGAGGAAGTAGGCCTTGACGGGGATGTAGCGTGCCGGGCCCTCGTCCTCCTCCTCCTGTGGCGGCGAGGGCGCCGGGGCCGACTCGGTCGCCGCGCGAATCCAAGCCCAGTACGCCGAGCCGCCGAGGCCCGAGTCGCGTGCGTCGTGGGGCGCGATGGCCGCGGCCGCCGAAGCTGATGAGAAAAGCCTCGAGAAAGGCGGTAAGTGAGCCGCGCCAGCGTTGGACCCGCGAGCCAGAAGTTGGCCCGGTGGCGGCGCTTGTGGCGGCGGCGGCGGCCCGAGGAAGCGGCGGAGACGGCAGCACGCGCGAAGCCGCCCCATCAGGCAGGCGAGTTGCAGCCGCCAAGCTCCGCGACCCCGCCGTACCACTCTCCCTCTGGACTTGGAGAGGAAGCATATGGGGCGGGACCCAGCTCTCAGGGAAGGCCTGCACCGCAAGAACCGGAGCTGAAGGGCCGTTTCGTTTAGTTTCATGAGTTGGGCCACGGCCTCTGATGGACCAGGCCGAATAGGTGACAATCGGGGCATTCTCAGTCAAATTTATCAAAAAAAGTGATAATTGGGGTGTTAGTTTTTTTTTTGTTGGCGATGTAATTGGGGTGTTAGTTGCGGTCCTTCCGGTTAGCTTCAGATAGTGCTAATGTTATTAGGAGTCTCGGAGAAGAAGAAATGGGTCCGTATGGCTAAGTTGTGAAAGAGATTAGGGCTAGGGCTCGTGATTTATTTATGTTGATTTTGCTCATGAGAATAGGAATTCAAATGTCGATGCTGATAATCTAGCTCTTTTGTAACATGTCTGGCTTTTTGACCCACCCGAGGGCGTTTGTATTTCGTATGACCAACTCAATCAATAAAGAGGGTGGTGTTTCTCAAAAAACTGCAGCTAGAGCAGCGACCGCGGCTGCAAGCCTACTCTGTGAGGCAAAAATCAATTTTACCTCTCAAATTATCATTTGATTTGTTTCTCCATCCAAAAAAACTGATTTTTTTCTCAAACAATATGAAATCAAACATCTTTACCCTCTAGCTCTCAAAACCTTTAAATTACCTCCTTGTCCTAGTTTGAAGTAGTATTGAAGGTGATTTCATCCTTTTTTAGAACTTTTTTTTATAAATATGTGATAAGGTTTTGAATAACGAAAAATATCTCTAAGCTTATAAAAATTTCAATAAAATTCCTAGAGATAGGTTGGGATATGAAACTTCTAAGATAGTATTTGAGAGGTTGTGAAAATATCTATTTTAAAAAAATAGATTTATCTCTAAGAAAATAGAAAAATGTCAGAAAAAACTAGAAAATTTCTCAAAACATTCTAATTGTTGTCTAAATGTATTTCAAAACGTTCTAAAACAAAAGCATAATACACAACAAGCATGAATGTATTTAGCATCTTGTATTTTTGATATGGAAAGTTTTTATAACACGTTTAGACATTGATCAAAGTATTTTGGTAGTTACCAGATTTTTTGATATCTTTTCCCATTTCTCTGTAGCTACATCTATTTTTAATCTTATAGATATATTTACGAGCTCCAAATATTATTTGGGTTTTTTTCATATTCCAATCTATCTCTAAGGTTTTTTTCTCATAAATTTTTAGAAGCCTAGAGATTTTTTTTGTGGTTTAAAAATATTATTAAGTATTTGCCGGAATGTTATTAACTAAGACAAGGATGAAACCGCCTTCAAAACCACTTCAATCTAGGGCAAGAGGTCATTTGCATTTTTTTTCAAAGTTTGAGGCGGTGTTAAGATGTCCAGTTTTAGAGTTTGAGAGGAAAATTCAGAGCACAACGATGAGGTAAAATAGACTTTTTCTTCTTATGGGGCTGGACTGGTCTTTCCTACATTTTCTTTCTTTTTATTTTGAAAAACAACCGTAAGCGACTTCTGAATTTAGTGCTCAAAATCCTTTGAGATCGATATATGCAAACTTTCAAATTCTAAGTCGTTTACCATCTATACAGTGTTTTAAAATGTTCTTGGCACGCACTTGAACCTGGCCTAGTATCTCTACCTTAGATAGTAGCCATACCATGGCTTGTATTTTCGTTCCGAAAACGGAGTACGGAGATCGGGATGCTTTCAGTTGTGCACCCCCTGCAGCTGCAGGGAAGTACTGAAGTGGTTTCTGAAGAGACAGTTCATTTTATTGGGCAGCAGGTTTTCCTGACTGAGTTGAGCTGGAAAGTGCTGAACCTAGTACACCTGAATAAAATGTCATCACCATTCGGTTCAGCTAGTACCGTCATTATGACCAAACTTATGGAAGTGTCGAACTGTCGACCAGGACCTGTCCAGCTGATCTCATGGGTCATGGTTCGGCGAATGCTGAACGAGTTAAATAGACTGACAAACTCACAGAAAAAGGGATGCAGGTGAAATCAGCTCACGATCGAAAATACTATATATTTATTTATCTCGGATTAATACTCTTTCTTAGCAGATAATTTGCATAGAAGCATCTCTTCCATCTGTGATAGAACTCTGCGTAAGCACTTCATCGCAATTTTGGACCAAATCTTCTGCCTTTGAAATTCAGCCGGCTACCATTTACAAACTGCATACGCGCCACTGAGCCGAAGGGGACGAACGCAATCTCTACGGTGGAGTTAAATTAAATAAATGCAGTTAGTACGAAGGCAAAATGTCTGTGGGAAGTTATTTCGCCTGCTCCACGTTTTCATCACAGGAAGAGCTGGACCACATTAGCTTAGCAGTGCCCCACTGTCCGAGCTATCGGAGAACATTACCTCGCCTTTTCAGCAACAGTTAAACAAACACAGAAACTCACATGTCCAAGGAGCGGATCGAGCGCTTAGAGATAACTTATCGGCACAATATTTTTCTCTCGCAATAAATCAGCGAACAGTACTTTTCAGCCTGGCTTTTCAGTGAAGCGAACAGGACCAAAAACTTAATCTGGACCCTGTTCGTTTGAACTTATCAGCCATGGTACAATGTTTGTTTTTCTCTCACAGTAAATCAACGAACAATACTTTTCAGCCTGGCTTTTCAGCGAAACGAACGGTACTTAACCTTAACGGCAATGCAAGCTCAAACAAAGAACCAATCAAACTAGAAATATGGAAGGTACATGATGCACTACAAAAGGAGCCTGAATGCGACATCTACTTATAAGTTATAATGAATTGAAGATGCAAGCGATATGCCTAAATGGGTTCATCCTCCTCTGTCAGCCCCTGCCAAGCGTCTCTGATTCTCTGGTCGTCTCGTCTCGCGGTTATATTCTCCAATTCTCTGAGCGAACCAGAGGACAATGCACACTGCAGGACATGGCGTATGACCCCATGCAATGCAAGATGCATCCACGACCACCAAGCCTTGCCCGCATGCGTGCGACTCCCTGCAGCAAGCAAGCTAGGCTCGAACTCGAACGAACTGACTAAAGCAAAGCTAGCAAGGAAAACCTGACGCCTGACGGTCGGGCGCGAACTCGCCGACCGAGACCGCACGTCGTCATCGCGCGATCATCAGTTGTGCAGCTTGTTAGGCCCGCTCGGCACGAGCCGCTTGGACACCCCGTAGCGCGGGTCTATCTGCTCGTCGTCGCGGCTGGGCGGCAGCGTCGGCAGGTGGTGGTACTGGTGGGCGCGTTGGCGCCTGGCGTGAAGCTGCGTGCACCAAGGGCGGAGGATCCGCGGTGGCCGCCCGCGCTGCTGCTCGCGGTCGCAGAGGCGGGCGAGGAAGGCCTCGTCGGCCAGCTGCACCGGCGCCCTCGCCGCCTTCCCGGCCTTCTCCCATGTCGTCTCTTTGTTAGACGACACGGTGACGCCCGACGAGACCACAAGGATGGAGACCAAGAAAAGCAAACGGAGGCAATGCGAGTGCTTCATTGCGTAATGGCGCTCGGCCTCTCTCCGTTTGGTGGTGGTACGTTTTAACAGCGGCGGGCGACGTACGGTGCTGTTCGTTTCGCTAAAAAGTCAAACTGAAAAGTATTATTTACACTAAACGAACAGTGTACGGGTATACACCGAGCCTGTGTTGCTTTGAACTGTTGCCATCTCTCGCTCTCTTTTCCTTTCTAGCGCACCATTTTAGGCATTTTCGACCCATCAAAACGACACTCCAAATTGTGCTATTGTGCGGTAGCTGACTGTGGTTCAGCTGGCCCATGCAGACCAATTTCAGTGAACGATGGATTCATGAATTCAGATGTCTGTTTTCCCTCGGATAAAATGTGTTTCTTATTTTGTTACTGGTATATGCCCATGCGTTGTATGGAGAAAGGGCACTGCGCATTTTTTTTTATTTGACTAAACCTCAGCATTTGAACGCAGACGCGTGAGCTTCGATGATTTCATACCGGAAGCGGAGCAGGCGTACGTGTCCAGATCGAGCCACGCGTACACGTACAGAGTGCAGAGGCCGAGCAGGCGAGGGCTGCGGATACGCGCGTAGCGTTGAGTACGAAGCAGCATTGTCCCGTCGGTCTTTGATCCGGACACTGAATCTAAAAGGACACGTCATCGGTTATCACGTACGTGTACCGGTCATCACGTACGTGTACATGTATTAGACTCGGGAACAGAGGAAGGTGGGCCCCGCGGTTTCGTGGCCGCACTCGGAATTTTTGGACGTAGGCGTGCGCAGCTGGTATTAAAGTCGGCCGAAGCTGATTTTTTAAGAGAAAAATACTGTAAATTCTAGCTGATAAGCCAGTTGATAAGTCCGAGTGAACATGCCTAAAGTTTTCGGAGCTCATATGTCCGTGTCCGCATCTACGTACAAATACTGAGGTTTAGTAAATGGTGACTCGGTGCAACGCACAGATCGGTACTCGTTTTGTATTGGAGTCACATCGGATTTTAGGATTTTTGTCAAGGCACGCGCAGCAGCCTATCCGAGTCGGAGTTCGCGTGCAGGAGCGTATCCAAGTCGAAGTTCTTGTGCGCAGACAACGGTGCGAGCGCGTGCATGGTGGAGTCCAGGCTGCAGCGGCAAGGAAGCAGGAGCGCGCGTGCCTGTGTGGGTCCAGGTGGTGCGACCTCACGTGCGCTGTGTGCCTGTGTGGGTGCTGTTCGGACGTTGGTTGGCCTAGCAAGTAGTTCACACACGTTTTCTTTGTTTGGATTGGATTTGGATGGACGAAACCGGCGTACACACGTCCGTATTTTTCTAGTAGAGCGCGCACATGACCGTAGCCTCTGGGGCCGGACGCGCACACCAAGTGCACGAAACCGCCTCTCTCTTTTTATGTGGTAGTAGATAGTAGATTTATAAGAAATTTTACGGCTATGTATTCTTGTTATAAGATTTTTATATGGTATAAAACCTGCCCAGAGCGAACTCATGGGCCTAAAACCCAGCCCATTACAAGTTACAAATGCACACGGCCTTCAATTCAGCCCATGGGCTTGATTAGGTTAATTTTTGTACTGCCTATAGTGTCTGAAGGCCTATAAAATTCTCTGACCCGTACTAGACTTATTATTATTACTACTCTACCAGCTAGTACGTAGTACTAACAAACGTGTCTGTGCAACGAAACTTAAGCTCTCTTTGGTACGGCTTATCCAAAACGGCTTCACCGGTAAAGCTAAAGTCGGTGAAACCAGAAAAACTGATTTTTCTCGGCTTCTAGTTCATTTTAACCTCGGCTTACAAAACGGCTTCACGCTACCGTGCCTCAATTTGCGCAAAATAGATGAAGCCGAAGCCGGCATAAGCCATGCCAAAAAGGCCCTTAATACGTAGTAAAGCTAACACGGCTAGCAACTAAAAGTGACACTTCTAAACAGTAAGAACTTTGTGTAGCTCACCATCCAAGATGTACACAAGGAACGTAGTAGTCACCCACCTCACAACTATTGTCGCTTCACGACCAACTCGACGATGACCTGACCTTGTACTACGGAAGCACGGCTTTCTACACACGTTACAATCCTTTTTCACAAAAAAAGACCATAGTGGCCACATCTCTCGAATTGATAAGTATATGTTTCCTCTGTCCCTAAATAAATAAATTTCTGAAGTTACCTCAGACTTTTTAAACTTTAATTGAACTTGTAGGAAAAAAAACATCAAGATTTAGGCCCTGTTTGCATCTAAGTTTAGCCCCCACTTTTAGTCCTCGTGTTTGGATTCATGAGGGCTAAAATGTGACTAAAAGATGTGGGCTAAACTTTGGCCCCATGATCCAAATAGGGCATTATGATATCAAACAAGTAACATTAGATTTATCATAGAATATATTTTCATAATATGGTAATTTTATGTCATAGATGTTGTTAATTTTTTTCTATAAAGTTAACCAAACTTAAAAAATGACACAGATTCTAGAAATTGATTTATTTAGGAATAGAAGGAGTAAATGATTGCACCGAATAACTTCCATAAAGGACTCAAAACTTCAAATAATGGAGTCTCGATCATCACACAACTCAAGACTTTCCGTGATTCCGAGTAACTCAAACCACACATTCATCAACTGATCATTATTAGACACGTTTCTTTTAAAAGTCAGCATCAAGCTGTCTCCATCCCATACCTCTAAAACAGCCGCATTAGACTCTGTTTAGATCCCTCTAGTTTTTGCCAGTTTTTAAGAATCTGGCTTTTAGAAACTAGGTGTGATCCAAACACGCCCAGTTTTTGTCGGATTCTTAAAAACTAGGAAGCTGTTAATACACAGTTTTTGCTAGTTTTGTGACCTATAGAGCAATAAATAAAGCTAGATTCTTAAAAACTAGGGGATCCAAACACCCCACCAGTTTTTGCTCAGAAAACAGGTTTTCGAAAATAGAGGCAAAAACTGGTTTTTAAGAATACGAAACTAATCCAAACATGCCCTTACTCTGCTCATTAAACATCACATACAGCGGGCAATGGAATAGCTAAACTACAGTTCCCAAATCGGTGTTTCTGTTTCCTAAGTCTGGCCTCCTTCTTCCTCCTAACTTTCCATTTAAAAGTTAAAACCCATTTGAGCTGTTTTGGCACCTTTACAACAAGCTCAAGTTTCATGCAACAAAAAGTGCTCGTCTTTTCGACTTGCCATTTAATTAATATCATACTCAGACTATACAATTTTGGTCCAAAGAACACTAGATTGTAGGTGTGATACTAGTATGAGGCGCGTGCATTTGCGCGCGGACGCAAATTTGCATTCTGGTTTTGGCGCAGCGACGATGATTTCGATGGAGGTGCAGTGACACAAGCACACAGAGAGGTCGAATAGGTTAGCTAATAATTGTCAGAACTGGAAAGACGACGTCGGTGGGTCATATACATATTCGATGATGCACATAAGCAGGCTAATATGGGATAAGTGACTGTACAGGATGTAGATATCACATATAGGTACGTATATGATACAGATGATGCAGTGGCGATGCGTTGCACGTGAGGGGTTCATTTTCCATATTATGGGAGAGAGCGCGGGAGATCATGGTCAATGTGGAGCCAAGTTCATGTAGCGCCTGCTGGGCCTGTTGAAGGAATTCGAGCAGATGTTGTAGTATAATATATTTTTGTGGCTGGATAAATGGAGTTTTTGTTGAGGTCAAAGCTGTGACTAACCTGCGCCGTAGTAATAGTTCATGGCGATGATGGCCCCCAGTCTGTTGAACCTGCTGATGTAGGGAAAAATGTTATGTACGCAGAGGCATGGAAGAGGAATGGTATGTCTTTGTGTGGAAGACGTATGACCTGAGTCTCCATGGTTTTGTGTTGTGTTGCCTGCAAAACGGTGCTGTAGGGGTTAGGCTATCACCTTTTTTGGCGAACCAAGTAGCAAATGACGATGTTGATGTGGAGATTCGGTGAGTCATTACTTAGACAGCATACCTCGAAGCCGGGCCATGGCGTCATCGTCTTCTTCTGGGCAACAAACGTGATATGTTTGGGGTATATATAAAGAGGGCTGTGTGTTAGAGCTACTATGTCAGAGACCTGTTACCCATGAATACTTGTTCAATATATTCTCTCCAGTCAGAGGGATGCATCGTTGAGTGTCCTGGTAATGTTGAAGGAACGGTGTTAATAGCCCATATGTGTATCTGTCTTGAACAATGAGGCTGTGTTTTTCAGCGTTGCTTACCTCTTCTTGGTGGCGATGTCTCTGTATGTTGTTCTGCCTCTATGAGTTCAATGGCGTTTGGTGGCAATGGATACAATGGATATGATGCAGATGTAAACCATGTGCATGTATATCGTTACCTTGCTGTGCTTCCATAGGGTTTTCCAAATCGGTGTTACCTTGATGGCAGTGGCAGAAGGGCTGACTGTCTGGCCTGCGTACAAACTGAAAGAAATGAATGTATAAGGAATATTAATCTGTGCCAATGTCTGCGCGAGATGTCTGGGTACGAATGTGGACATGTTTATGTGCCAATCAAGAAAATCTGTGTGTACGTGCTGGTTAGGCACTGGGAAAATGATAATGGACGTTGACACAGCGATTTAGAAATGGACGCTACTATTGCTGTCTGAAACGAGCATGCATAGCTGGCCCAACGATGTGGTCTGGTTGTCAGCTGCGGATGGCTTCAATGGTTGGTTCGTAGGTATTTGTGGAAACGGACCGTACCAATATGGATCTGTGGAAAATAAGGGAGATCAAGTCTGTGTTTGGTTGAGCTGTGGCTGTAGGAAAAAGTTGATGTGGGCTGTGAGCTGTGAAAAAACTGCTGTGGACTGTGAGTTGTAGAAAAACTGAAAGCTATTTGGTTAAACAAGTATAAAATATACCTTCTAGCTTTATCTCTCTTGAAACAACAATGGAAGAGTTTTTTATTCCACTAATTTCGAAAAACAGAAAGCCAAAAGCCTAAAACAGGGTCAAACCAGCTTTGAAAAATGTACTACGAAAAAACAGCTCCTTCTAAAAAAG